TGACTAACTGGTGAGAGGCTTCAGGAGGCAGACTCCAGAGTCAAGACCTTTTCTCCCTTCTGATGTGCCTGAAACCTTCTCTGTCTATCTATGCCAACTGGAGGATTGTGGGAATTTTTTCCTTTCTTTTTGAAGTCCTAGTTGATATGGCTGTATGTGGGATAGGCAGCGTCCTTGGTAAATAGAGGTTAAATGTCAAAATAGCTGTCATGTGTCACTGCTGTCTTGGTCCACTGGGGATGGCCTTGTGTGTCTCTAACCTCATAGAAGGTCAGCTTCCTGGAATAAGGGCCTCAGACCGCCAGGTCCCTTGGCCAGTGGTGCTGCCTTCCCTGTGTGCTTGCAGCTCTGACATTTCTGTGTCTGAGAAGGGCTGCCACTGACTGAAGGTTTAGCAGGCACCAGGCTGTGTCCTGTGCCGCACAGGCATTATCTTAGACCCACCCCACCCCCAGCACACTGCCAGAAAAGTCCCATTATTGTCCCATTTCATAGATCACAAAATGGAGCCACAGAGGTTCAGAAATTCTGTCCATGTCACCCAGATGTTAAGCAGCAGAGCTGGGACTCACACAGGGCGGTTTGGCTACCACACCACACTGCCTGTACAGATCTTGGCTCTGTGTCCTCTGTAGAGTTTTTCCTCATCTCACCAATGCCTCTGAGATGCTCACTGCCCAAGCGCAGAGGCCACTGACCGTCACTGATGATTTCACCTTGGGAGCCGCCTGCGAAGTCTAACCTTTCTTCCACGGCTGTCGGCGTGCCTGCCCTTTTCCTTAGGTGCTGGACACATCTCACACCTAACTTCCTTGACAGTTTTTTCAACACACAAGAGGCCACACAGCCAAAACTCTGGAGCCCGGGTGGCTCGAACCAGTGGACCATTCCAGAAAGACATAGAGAACCAGCCTGCTCTAGACATGGATCCTGTTGCAGAGACAGAGCCTGCTCCCGACAGACCTGGACCTCACTCTAAAGACACAGAGCCCTTTCAGAAAGGCTTTTATCCTGAAAGGGCCACAGGACACAGTGCTCCTGACACCAGGGGTATATTTTGGCTTACATACTTGGGCTTTTTCTTGCTGCTGAGGAATAAGGGTGTGGATGAAATAGAGATGACAGACACACAAAGGTGTAGCACAGCCGCCTGTTCCTGTTCATGGTGCGGGTGTGCCGTCTGAGCAGAGCCTGCGGGCTGCCCTTGACCCTGAAGCGTCTCTCCCCCCTGAGCAAGCAGCCACCTGGTGGCTGCTGAGTCCCGAGCTTCTAGGAAGATACCCATCTTGTTGGTGAGCTCCAGGCTGCGCTGACAGCCCTGGGCTGCTTTCTCTGGGGAGATGCCCCAGGTCCCAGATGGCATCTTTGGTAATTACTAGACCTCCCCCAGAATCTGCATGTATTAAGGAGTCTTTTTCTATTAGGGTAAGGTGGGTAGACACTGGCCAGCAGTCCACCCAGGGGAGGGCTCATTTGCCTATTTCTGTGTGCACAGCCAGGCTTGTGACCCCAGCGAAGTGCTGGAGCTGGCTTGGAGGCTGTGGTTTTCTGGGTTCGTGCCTTCCTCCCTAGCTACGGCTTTGGACAAGCCTGTGTACCGGCCTTCTCCTTGAGGACATTTATAGAATTAACCTCTGTTCAGGGGGTAGTTTGCTGCCCAGGTTATGGATGAGGAGACTTTCCAAACACAGCCTGGAATTCTCCAGGCCTCCTTCAGTCGTGTTCATGCAATTTAGCATCCCAGTTATCTTTCGCACACACAGCTGTCTCCTCCTCCACAGCTCTGTCTGGACCCGCTTCTCGGAGCATCACCTGCAGACGCGCATGCCGTCTGTGCCATGCCTGTCACTTGCCCATCGGCACCTCCAGTGTACACTGCACAGCTTCCCCCACATGATGTGAGTAGGTGATAGAAACTGAGGGAGCACACTAGTGCCAGGCCGTGCCGGCAGGATGGCTGTGTCAAATCCCCACAGTGTGAGTGAGTGTGGTGAGGCTCACTCAGCCTTCACTCTTTACCTGCAGGCCGGGAAGCATGGCCACTGTCGGTAACTGTGCGCATGCTCACCCTCTCTGGCATGCACGCAGCAGCACACAGAGGCTGCAGTTGTGACAGCTTTCCAGTTCTGGGAGGAACACAGAAGCAGTCACACCTCAGCCAGACCAGAAGCGTAGATCTGCACGGAGCAGGGCTGGGCCTTTCTACAGGCCATAGACTGGGAATCAACTTCCTGAGGAGATGAGTCTGTTGGCAAAGTTCTTGCCAAATAAGTGTGAGAAGCTGAGTTCGGACCTCTAGCAACTGGAAGAAGCCAGGTGTGGTGATGCGTGGATGGGCTGCCAGCATGGTGGAGGGACAAAAGGACCCTTGAGCCTCAATAATTGTTTAGCTAGTTTAGCCAAATCAGTAGGCTCTAATGTTAGTGAGAGGCCCTATCTCAAAAACTAAGGTGGCGTCGGTCCTAATGTCCTTTAATCCCAGCAGCAACTGGGAGACAGAGGCAGGCTAAGCTCTGTGAGCCCCATATCAGCCAGGGCTGCCTGCTAAGACCCTAAGTTAGAGAGAGAGAGAGAGAGAGAGAGAGAGAGAGAGAGAGGAAGACACTGACATTGACCTCTGGTATATGTCACACACACACACCATAGCACACCAGGTGGTTGAGGAGAGTCGGCCATGGGGAGGGCAAACATCTCAGATAGAGCTATGGAGAGGAACTGGTGGAGGGCAGCGTTGGAGGTTGGCCGTGCTACCCCACAGTCCCACGCAGGCTGTCCCAGCCTTCACACTGGGTGTGTCCGTCACGTCCCTGATGTGGCCCTCATCTCCGGTGCCCAGCTTACAGCACTGCTGTCTCAGGCTGCTGCTGCAGGTTCCCAGGTCCCAGATCGGGAAGACTGGGGGGATGTGGCCCGGGTGCAGCAGGCCCAGGCTACCTTGTCCTGGGCCAGGCTGGAGTGTAACCAAGAGAAGGACCCTGCAGTGACACAGGCCTCGAAGATGTTTGAGGTGATATGTGGGACCATGAAGTCACCACTTACGTCAGTGGAAGCTTTAGGAGCAATGACCTTCCCCCAGCTGGCGGAAGTGGTCTCCTGAGGCCACACTCGGCCCCTGAGGCAGTTTTCCCTTCTGACCCTGCTAAGCAAGAGATGCCACATGGGAAGCACTGGGAATTCCACAGAAGTTGAGGAGCTGGCTGGCCTGCCAGGAACAGGCAGCTAGAGCAGAGCAGCTTAAGTGAAGTCAAATTGTGTCTGCGAGCCGCAACCAGCATGGAGGAACAGGGCGCCGTTGCCGCAGCCTCTGTGCCAGCTCGGCACGGAACCCTGGTTCAGAACTCAGCTTGGCTCTGCACCTAGTAGTCCCCCCATGCAGGCTGTTCGAAGTGGCCCCTCCTGGTGGCTGGAGGTTTTCAGTGGCTTGCCCAAGTTCACAGAGGGCGTATGTGTCCCGGCTGAGACTCCTTCCAGGTCTGGACTCCCCTGGGGCACACACACTCAGGCCTTCCTTTTTGATTCATGGCACACATGCATGAACAGGATGGCTTCCTGCATGCCCCACCCCCTAGGCTCATTCTGAGTCTCAGCCTGAGCTAAGCCAGAGGAGGGACTGCAGGGCCTCTTTCTGGTGTCTTTTCCCAGAATCCAGTGACATTGTCATGGGAACAAGGCGTGTGCCTGTTTAGGTCTGCAGCCTATGAAGACCCCTTCTGGGGCCACAGGGCCTTGCTGTTTGTTTTACCTGCCTAATTTCTGAGAACTGTCAAGAAATGAGCCGACAATTTAAAGAGACAGGAGGAACCCAGATAAGTGGAGACAAGGAATGGCAAGGCCCCGCTGGTCCTGCTGCCCCTTCTGCCGGAGGCCTCCTCCATACTCACTCCAAACCCCACTGTTTTCTGGGGTTTCCCTATCCTCTTGTCTCCTCTTGTCATGTCTAGGGTATCTGTGATGAGCTTCACCATCTCAGCTGCTTCCAAGTCTCAAGGCTTCTGTGGGACACGAGGCCCAGGTGAGGCCCCTGTTGTGGCTTAGGGCCTGGGCTGTCTTCTGGACCTGAGCAGGGGAGAGGCCAGGGCATGGGTGTCAGCTGGAGAGAGCTGAAAAGATGGAGGACAGCCTCTGAGTGTCTGGGGGCCTCTGTGAGGATGTCTGAAGCCAGGGTAACAGTGGCCTGGGGGGAACGAGATGAAAACATGGTCACGTTCTCTGGCCTTCTGCCTCTGTCTCAGGAAGACAGGCTCTATCCTGGCTTGCACTGCTGCTGAGGGCACGGTTCTCCTTCCTGCTGTCCTGAGGGGCTCAGCTGTGATTTCCCGTCTCCTCTTGATGTCATTTCACTTCGGTGACTCAAGTCACAGTTTCTTTTTCTCCAGATGTGCATTGTGTGGTAACTCCTGGAAGCTCTCAGAATAGGTTCTTGTCAGTCAGAAGGAGAGATCTATATGCCAAAGGTCAAGGTCATCACTAAGGTGTCATGCTGCCAAGATCCTTACCTTGGTCAGAGTGGGAGCTGTCTGGGGAGAGAAGAGCGTGACAGGCTGAGGGTGTCCCTACCTTGCGGTAGACTCCTGCTCTCCCACGTGGCCTGTGTTCTAACAAGAAGGGAAAGATTCCAACCTGACCTAGCTGCTGCACTGTTGTTGACCAGAATAAAACAGAACAAAAAGGACTGCTTTAGAAATGTACGTGTAATGGGGTTGTGTCTACTCACGGGTAAGTGTGTAGATGTGTGCATAGAGGTGTGTACTCATACGCTTCTTCTTCGAGCCAGCTTGCTTCAGCAGCTTGAAGAGCTCAGAGGCATGAGGATGGTGCCTCGCGGCACACTGCTGGAGCCGCAGGCTGAGCTTCTGTGGGCATCAACTCCTCCAGCATGAGTGCTGACGGAGGCTGAGTGGACAGGTAGAGGGAGGGGGGCTTGCGGCCCCGGGGACCGCTGTGCATGCCTCCCCGAAGGCTGCTAGTCCCTGACTCCTCCACCTCTGGCTGTCTTGCAGGAGCTGTGCCGCCAGCGAATGGCTGCTCGGCCCCAGGATCGCTCCGAGGGACCACATACATCCCGAATCAACAGCGTCTCATCCCAGCTCAGCGATGGGCCCATGCCTAGTCCCTCGGCTCGGAGCAGCACTTCATCCTGGTCTGAGGAGCCTGTCCAGTCTAACATGGACATCTCGACTGGTCACATGATCCTGGTAAGGCTGACTTCCGTGAGGGAAGGACAGGCAGTGGTGGGGTGTTTTCCTTTGCGGGTTGTGTTCTACTGTGACCCTCTGTCAATCACTTCCTAAGCTCGGAAGTTGCCAGTGTGCCCAGTGAGTCCTGGCTAGAAACAAAGGCTGTGTTGCTCACTGAGCTTTCTGTCCAGCTTGGCGCACATGCTCCCTGGGCTTGAGATCAGTGCTGGGAATGCACGCCTTTTAGTGCTAGCTTTGCTTGTGCCATACTTGTTGGCCTTTGACTAACAGAGACCGGCTGTTGCCTCCTTTACCCTTTTCCCAGCCTAATAACTGCTGTCTGACTTTAAAAAAATCAACAAATGTCACCGTGGGCATGGTGAAACTGAAGGTGAGGAGGCAGGAGGAGGCACGCACTGCCTTCAGTCCAAGCCCCCTGGCCAACACACGTGGCTTCTCGGTTGGGCCGTGTCTATTCGCCTGGTACATTTCCTCTGTCTGTGTTGCCTTGTGGTATCTGATTACTGTCCAGTTTCATTCACAGAGAGGTACATAACTCAGAGCTTCGTCAGGCTGTCCCTGGGCCATGCCATGGGGATGGGGCTTCTTCCAGCCTGAGGCCCAGCCGCAGGTCCCTGCTGCGATCATGGGTCAGGAAAATCCTAACTTTATATGGTTAGTCCTCCTGCCTGAAGGCTTCTGCATAGGTCATCCTTACACACTCACCTGGGGGGAGGGGCACAGGAAGCTGGAGAACTGTTTACTGCTAAGAAATCTGGCAAAGCCAGCAGGTCAGCAGAAGCCATGCTAGCCAAGCAGATCCTGTGAGTACCCACATCAGTGCTTTGGGGGTTTTGGTAGCCTAGACCCCTGTGAGTGTCCAGAGACAGAGGTGCTCAGCAGCTCACTTCCTCATGGCACACGGCCACCGAGGATGTCACTTCTCTGGGTTGTCTGTGGCGCGTCCTTGTCCTGCTAGCTCCTGTTTCTTCTTGCTGCTCTGGGACAGAAGCAGAGGGCTTCCCACACCTGGGGCAGACAGCGCATCATCCATCATCACTCAGCAGGTGTGCCATGGCCCTGCGTTGTTCTTGACCAATATGTCAACTATCCAAGGTGTTCCGTGCCGGTGCTCACAGTTTTGTATTGTGGCTGATGTCCTCCGTATCCACAGAAATTGCCTGACTCAGATCTGACTTCTCAAGAACTTTGGCATTCATCCCTTTTAGAAAAGCACCTGAAAGTCCAGACCTACAGTGGGGTTTGGTGCTGGGTATAGGAGAGAGAGAGAGAGAGAGAGAGAGCACATGCACGTGCGTGCGCGTCCTTAGCAGTAGGGCCCACTTCTGCTCTTGTGACCTGGTGCTTGCTTCATAACTTTGGGTCACAATTCGATGAGACCGTGTTCGTCTGTGGTGTATGAGATACATCCTCAAAAGAAGCTATGTGTGGACATGAGTGGCAGTTCTGTGTGCAGCAGGGGACCTCCACCTCCAGCTAGCCAAGACTTCACTGTTCTAAAACAGGGCGGCATGGGTAGAGGGCGGCAGTCTGCCAGAGCCCCTCACAGGCATCTCCCTGAGCATGGATGGCCACAGCTTCACCCTCCTCTCACATGAGATCCAGAAATTACTCAGACCTGTGCAGGTCACACTCACCCACCCCCTCTCACACTCCCTTTGCCAAGATTGTAAGCCCAGGGGAGTGAGGCATTTCTAGGAACTGCTGCTTCTGTAGCCGGAGACATGACTCAGCACCTTCTCTAGGAGTCAGGCCAGGAGGCAGGCCTACCCAGTCACTGAAGCTGTGAGGCTGGGTAGTGCCAAACCTGTTTTCTCCCCACCCAGTAGTCCTGATCCCCTTTTCAAGGTGGGGGCATGTCACACGGGGTCTTGCCTCAGCATTTCTCTGTGCTGGACCAGAGAAGACCAGAGCCTTAGGCACTTTCTTCAGATCCCAGCCCCTGAGTGCATGGGCTGGGAAGCCCCTCACAGGCTGCAGCAGAAAGGGTCTGGCCCAGGGTTGTGGCCAGGAAAGCAAGTGTCCAGCAGCCCGGGGGCCAGTCGACGGCCAGCCTCAGTGCTGGTCCTCTCTCACAGGCTGTGGGAGCCAGTGCGTGTCAGCCCCCATTAAAGCCACAGGGAAGGCAACTGCAGTGGTCAGCCACCCTGCCCTCAGCGGGAAAGTGCTTGCCAACTGGACAGCTGGCAGGACTAAACACTAAAATGCATGGCAAGGGTGAGTGAGTGTGCCATCAGGTAGACCCAGGGCCCTGGGTGTTCAGTCACAAAGTTGCTGCAGCAGAGCATATGGGCAAAGCTTGTTGTTTGAGCAGAAAGACTGAAGAAAGGGACTGAAAGACCAGAGGACCTGGGCTCAATTCCCAGTACCCACACACCGGCTCACACCATCTGTAAACTCCAGGTTTGGAAATCGGACGCCCTCTTCTGGCCTCCATGGGCACTGCACACATGTGACACACAGGCATACATGTAGAAAAATACCCATATCCATACACATAAAAATAAATATATTTTTTGAAAGAATGAAGGGGGATAAAAAAGATCAAAAATGGTTTCAACTTCAGGTTGGCAATAATTGCACTCCATAAAGTTGTGTTGACCCAGAACTGACTATTAGTTCACATCAATGACTGGATATTTCCCCTGTGGTGGACCACTCAGGTGCCCAGCAAGCATGACCATTGTGGGGAGGGCCTCAGGCCTGAGCCCAGTTCCCTATGGCTCTACTCACTGCCAGCTGCACAGATGGCCTCTGTTGTCCCTGGACAAGGTGTCTCTGCAGGTAGAGCAGGGGTCAGAAGTATAGACAGGCCAGATGCTCACAAAGGTCATCAGACATGGAGAGGCCACCTGGCCAGGGTTTCAGGGTTCTCCTAGCTGCAGGCAGCACAGTGTCCTGGTTAGGAACCTGACTGGAGCAGAGACACAGATTCTGGGGTGCCACAAACCGGGGATGAAGCCTACATCCCTGGCTGCCGCCTGCTGGTTTGGAATCTAAGCTCGTGTCTATCACCCCTGCCTTATTATCTGTATGCCAGGGCTGGAAAAGAGCGCGCCCCACCCCAGTCCCTGTGAGTGCCAAGCAGGGCAGGAGTGTGAGACGCGCTCACGATGCACCTGCAGACACAGTAGAGCCACAGGGAAAGGGGGCAGCTGCCACCATGCACACCAAGTGCGTAAACAACAAACAAACAAACAAACAAACAAGATGTAATAGTATTTACACGTTTCTGCTGGCCGTGGTCGTGCATGCCTTTCATGTTTGCACTGGAGAGGCAGAGGCAGGAGGATTTCTGAGTTTTGGGCAGAATCTATGTCAGCATGCACAGAGATACCTGCACAGACACCTTTATTGCTACAGTGTTGAGGACAGCCAAGGTTCAGAGCCAGCCTATGTGCACGTCGTCAGGTGGGTGACACAAGGTCAGGGTGGAAAGACTGGTCAGCGACAGAAGTCATGCTATCTTCGGGAACCGGAGATCAGGACAAACAGGTCAGTCAGAAAGACTGTGTATTTCCTGTATACAGAACCCGTTCTTAAAAGACATGTATGCACGCAGAGCATTTGCTGCACGTTTGCCCTCCTGAGTTCAGCTTCCAGCCCCAGACATGGCTGGCAGCAGGCTGCAACCCCAGCGCTGTGGGGGCCGAGAGGACCCCCGAGCTTCATGGCTCAATGAGAGGCAACGAGGGGCAGGACAGGACACATGACAACTCCTCTGGCCTCTACATGGGAGCATGAACGCCATGCCCTTGCACATACAACACTGTCACACACACAAAGTTAGGTCATGGCATACTTAAACTCCCAAAGCTAGGGCTCACATACTGAGGCCGGAGAATTGCGAGTTTGAAACAAACCCGAGCCACACACTCTGCCTTAAGAAACCAACAGTTTCCTTAGAACTATGGATTGTAGTATGATTATCCTATAGGACGTGACTAATATCCATTTATATGTGAGTGTATACTGTGTGTGTCTTTCTGCTTCTAAGATACCTCACTCAGGATGATCTTTTCTAGTTCCCACCATTTGCCTGCAAATTTCACGATTTCCTTGTTTTTAATTGCTAAGTAGTATTCCATTGTGTAAATGTACCACAATTTCTGTATCCATTCTTCAGCTGAGGGACACCGGATTCTGGCTATTACGAATAAAGCTGCTATGAACATAGTTGAACAAATGTCCTTGCTGTATGGTGGGGCATCTTTTGGGTATATGCTCAGGAGTGCTATAGCTGGATCTTGAGGTAGAACTATTGTCAGTTTTCTGAGAAAGCGCCAGATCAATTTCCAAAGCAGCTATACAAGGTTACACTTCTGCCAGCAATGGAGAAGTGTTCACTTTTCCTCACATCCTCTCCAGCATGCATCATCTGATGGGTAATAAATAAAGTTTAAAAAATAAAACAAAAAAAGCAAAGATTTCAAGTTAGCTTTGATGGCGTTCAGGGGAATGGTCCTGGTTCCCCAGAGCCCGCATACCAGCTGCTCTATAAGATGGGCTACCTGGTAAGAAGCAGGTAAGGGCAGAGGTGTGGGCTGGCAGAGCTGACGGGTACACACAGGGGGCCGATGCCCTGGGGACTGTCATCAGCCCATCTTGAGCTCTGCTGAGGAAATTCTCACAATGTGAGATGTCCAAGGGAGTTCATAGCTCTAAAGGATGTCTGTGGAACAAGGACAGCCACTGAATGACGCTTTAGGGCTGCCAGGAAGCCCCCATCAGAGTGTGGGAGCCACCATCCTGGGAAGTCCTTACTCACGATAGAGACGCAGTCTGTGTTTGCATCCCGGGGGTATGTTCCCAAACCGTGCCTGCCTTCTGCAGTGGGTGTTTCCACATGGCTGGCCACAGAGGAGCTGAGAGCATTCCTGTCTGGGAAGATCCACTTGTGGGAGTGGTGTGAACACACACAGGGGGCAAGCCCTCGTTGGGCGTGGTCCTGAGAAAATGTCACTTGATTGCTTTCCTGCTTGCTCGGTGTCAAAGCT